CGCACAATGTGTTAGTATTATATTACTGTAAGTGTATTATATTGGCCGTTAAAATACTAAAATGCATCGACGGTTACAGAATAAAAATGAAGCTTGCACCATAGAGATAAAAATTGAATTAAAATCTTTTTGAACTGAATCTCAATATATTATATTTATTATTTACTTATTTATACTACTATACTGTATATTCAATATTAAAAGAACCGCGTTGCTCGAAAAAAAAATAAATTGCTGATCGGGCAACGTCAAATTCAATTTTTCGTTCAATCCGTCAAAATTTAACTTTACATTATTATCCTTGATTGATACTCAAAAAAGCAAGGCAAACCGTGTTTGAGTGAGAGGATTTTTTCGAGCAAATTCCGTAGAGTGGTTTGTTTAAAACGGACGCAATTATAGAATGGAGAAGGTGGAGAGGTATTTGAGGTGGAAAGTATGGTTTGAGTGTTCTTCCAACTCAATTTGCGTTTATTGTTTCCGATCGATTCTTCGACAAGTACACTGTCCTGCGCGAGCCCCGTTGGGTAATGGCAATTTCCAATAACTCGTTTGAGCTAATGCAGTTAAGATTGAGAGGAGAATCTAGCTTCGAGGTTAATTAATTTTTCCGGAATTATTCGAAACAGCGGATTCGTTTTACTCCGTTCTTCTGCGCTTGCAATGGAAACTCAATCGCCCATTGTGATAAATAAAATTCTATTGTGATAAATAAATCCAAGAACAATCGTGCACGCATCGCGTGGGCGATAAAAAAATCCATATTACTTGCAATATGACGCGAGATCTTGCATTAACAGAACGCAAACGGACGTAAATTAAATTCATCGTTTCAATAAAATATTTAATTAAACTCGGCGATTTGTAAAAGCATTGTTAATGGAAAGATCAGGTATATAGATTAGTGTAGTATATGTGTATATATTGACCTTTATGTAGAGACTGATTGTCACATGTGCGATCACATCTCACTGCAAGATTACACGGTGATTTCATTTATTGAACTACTAACAATAAATTATAAAGATTCCACGATGATTTTTACGTATCTATGCTTAACTATCAAAGACTCAAAAATAGATCAGAAATAGAGTTCCCTTGGAATTTTTAATAGATGAAATGAATCTTTATTTAAGTCGCGTTTTTTTTTTTATCGATGTTATCGCAAAAATATGATTAATCTGTAATTAATAAATATTAATAAAAAGACCATCGATGAAATAAAGAAATCATCGTGAACGAAATAAAAATTCGATTTCTTAACCTGCAATTAATTTGTAATTAATTTGTAATTAATTTTGTGTCAACAACAAGACCATCAGCGAATCGTCGTAGCCATAGTGATTGGAGAAACGGGCGTGACGAGATCTCGACTTAAGCCAAATACGTTTTACAGGGTCGAGATTTCCGACACGATTTCACGACAACGGGCGTATCGTGTCGAACCGTGGAAAGCGCAGTCACGCGAGCTGCAAACGACGACTTTACACCGTGCAAGTGCAATTATAAGGGTGCAATAAAGATCGCGCGAAATGCTAGAAGCGAGCTTTCGAGAGGCGGACGAGGAAAACGGCCTCTATATCGGTAATCGTTTTAATCTAGGTCATCGTCGAGAGATAGCTTTATCTTTTCTCAAGGATAGTCGAAACCGTGGAAATAGAGGTCTCCCGAGGGAGGCAGAGGGACAAAGAGTGTGGAAGTTTTGTGCCTCGAAGAAACGAGAAACTGTCGTAGACAGTCGAGCATCACGACGCGTTTTAAAGTTCGATCGCTCGATATCGAGCTTGAAATCGTAGAAGAAGAAGAAGAAAAAAAAGAGAGAGAGAAAGAGAAAAGAATAGAAGAGAAGAGACGGAAGCGTAAGGAAAACTTTTGCCACATTTGCATGAATATACGAGTTCAAAGCGAATGAAAATTTCTAGTTGTCTCCCCCGTTTTCTTTCCACCGTTGTCTTACAAGCTTCGTTCGAATGATTGATGGACTGAAAGTTTCGTCGAAATACGGTCGAAAGAAGGATTGTTGGAAGGTTGGCGATTACAGCTCGATTTCGAATGCATCTTCAAGGATGATGGTGGTAAAAGTGGAGGGCCCTTTACGGCCGATTAGCTCGTCGGCGTTTGCCTTTGTGCTTGAAATAGATTGAAACATTAACCCTTTCGTGGCGAATCGAGGCTGAAGTGATCTTCCGAAAAGCATCACCGCTACATCTCTGCATTTCTGCCATTCTGAAAATCGTTCCCAATTGTCTTGTATCTTTATTGGAAACGATCAGAGGTTTTCATTGTACATATTAGACGTGCGATACGTGTACAGTGTACAGCTTATCTGACAATTCGAAGATTCTGCTTGTTCGTGTCAGTGATCTTTTATTCTGCCCAGTAGGACTCAATTTAATTAAATAAAAACTTCACAGAAAAAAAAAAAAATAGAAAAAAGCACGTTTATTATACAAAGAAAAAGAGAATATGTTCCAGAGTTTTCGTTCCTACCTGAGGACTGTATTCATAGAAATAATGAAAGTAATTAAACTGCGAGAGTATAGCATTATTGATAAAAGAATTTCCTATCGGTGGAATTCTTCGAACTTTATAATCGATAACGCAATTTCAAAAGTCTTGCAACTTCAATTTGTTTTCATATTTCAATGACTCATAATGTAACCACATTGACGTATTTTTACACGATAAAATTTTAATTCTAGAATTTAATCTTCTATTAGTAAAAAACGCTCTTAAATTTGAGAGAAGAATGAAACAATAATTGCAATTGTGAATAAAACAGTTATTTTTATTAAATTATGTTTATGATTGTGGATTTCTATTGGCATTCACGAGAAATTTAAAGTAAGAATACGTAGTAGAAATATATAAAATATCCAAATTGAAATTTCTTACAATATCTAGATGATGGAAATTTAAACTTCAGGAAGTGTAGAAGAATAAGTTCAACACACAATATTAATATACATAATTTTCTAAATTTGCTTCGGAACTTGAGTAATCTTTATTATCGATTAAAGCAAGAACAACATTCGAAGGTTACAATGTTAATGAAACGCAATATCCAA